CATGGCTTATAAAATGGACTTTACTAACTGATCTGTCTTGAATTTATTTGGAGTAAAAAAAAAAGGTTACGTACCGTATCCACAATGGTAATGGCTGGAGCACTGAAAAACTCGCCAATGATGATGACGAGCAGAATCAGCAGAAAAATGGCATGAACCTGGTCCTTGTTATATTCAGGAGGTTGGTTTTGTTTGGTTGTAGTACTTTGAATAGTGCTGCCAGACGTGGTGTTTGGGGCTGATGTTGAGTCGAATGTGCTTGGCTCGGGCCTTGTGGTAGTTTGGTCAGATTGCGTTGTGTTAGCTAATTCATCAGGTGCCACAGTGAAACTTGAGTTGGAATCCCGTTTGAATCGGTGTTCAGAGTTGTAGCCTGAAGACTTAATGGAGGGAAGAATGGTTCGCCAAAGGTAGTGTCCAATCAGATCCCTGCGGCGTCTCATCTGGTTTGTTGTCGGGATGGAACTGGTATTGAGGTAGAATGTCTCGTTAGATGTGGTAGTGTGGACAGTTGGTACCATAGCTGTGGTCGTCGGGAGGTTCTCCTCTTTACACTTCATGTCCGCTGGCTGCACAATGCCAATCCCAGAACTGAAGAGGACCCAGCATAACATTGAGAACAATAAGACTGCTTTACCTTTTCTGAAACGATCTGCAACAATGCCCCAAAAAGGGGCGCTACAGAACTCAATGAAATAACGGATTCCTACTAGGAGACCACTTTGGGTGGGATTCATCCCCAGCTGCCTGTAGTACAAAGCAAGAAGTGGATGGAGGGAACCATATGCAGCATAGAAGAACAAATAAAACACTTTTGACACAAGAAGGTGGGGGTTGACCCGTAGGAACAATCGTTCACAGCAGCTCATGTCGTGTTGAGCAGATGGCGTTGGTGCTGTATCGTTGGGTACTTTGTCCACAGATGATTGTGAAGGTTGATCTGATTGAATCTCAAGTGACAGGCGGTCGAAACGCTCGAGGTGTCTCCTCTTCAGCTCCTCTTCATCGTCAGTTAAGATGGCTACACGGTCGTCAGCCATCTTTGCTGGGGTGCTTAATATTTCTAAAGTTGGGTTGAAGATAATATTAATATATAAATTTTGAGCATGTGTTAAAAACGGCATACAGCATGTCCGGAAACATATGTACATAAGGGTCCATTTTGATTTCAGGATGATTTTGAAAGCAAAAGAATTACATTGAAAAAAACAGGGGGGGAATACATATCTTAACAGAGATTTGACAATTTGAGAAAATCAGAAAACAACATCAGAACACTTTACAGCACAATTATGGCTTTAAAAATCGTATATCATCACTGTTTTGCATGTGAAGTATAGCATACTAAATTCTATTCTTACTACTACTCCAGTACTAATATACTATCCACAGTATGCAAATGTTCTGTATGCTTGGAATACCCATATGATCTACTACAGTTTGTAAAATAACTATATTTCCAAATAATATTTCCAAAATGATAACGTGACGAAGTCACGTGACAATGAAGCATACCATATGAAATGTTCATTGGCGCATACTGGTTAGTGTTTCACATATTATATATAAAAAAGTTAGCCGTGTACATTATATGCTGTGCCGTATTCACCAAGTAGTAAACAAGTACTATTTTACAAACACGTGAACACTAACCAGGATGTATACTGCCGAATGACGTAATGAATGTTTATGGCGCGCCTGTCTAAAACTGTCCTACTTTTACGGAAGTATCAGCGCTTCCTTTATTAAGATGTCATTTAATAAAAGATAGCCTGTATATTTATTCGGCAATGTCTTTTAGATCTTTCTAAAAAAAAAAAACACGTTTCTCGGTTTCCTATGATAACCTATGCGTCTTAAACAGGAAGAAGGGTCACAAAACCCGTCTTATATTCAAGAAATGCAGGAAATGGAGAAGACGTCCATCCATATCAAGCGAATGTTAAGCATATAACTATATATTTACAGTAGAAAAAGCGTTGGCATGTTATATGAAAACAGTCATTGTGTATTTACCTGTAGTCTCGGTAGTTTCAGGTGAGTCGCTTACTTTGGAACAGACGCGTTTCGATGATGAAGTTGATTTTCCTCCATTTCCAATGAATGTTTGTTTACTGGACTGTGTTTTGGTCTACTGGCTTTTCTGCCAGTTTAAACCGTTTCTTTCTCCCTTATTTGTTGCCTTGTCGAGGCATTTTTGTTGCTTGGTGGCGAGAATCCAGCGTTCACCTGCTCTCAGTCCGACTTGGGGTCTACCTCATGAAAATTAATTAGGTGCTGACGTTGTTAGCTCGGGTTCTTTTGGCGAAGGCGTGGCTTTTGAATAGTAACGCGCTGACGTTGCTGAATATCCATCCAATAGCGAGGGCTTGGTACTTGAATATTAAGTAGGTGAAAATAAGGTGGTTTTATTTGCGTTCTAATGGGAAAGAAAGACTCTTGAATATTATTATTGTGCATCAGTTATTATTTTTAGTTTAATTAACATGAACAAACATTATTACAATATATAATGCTTAAGTCGCTTTTAAAATATTTAGAAACTTTGTTTTACATGCATTCATATTTTAATAACCATGTATTTTAAACACATTATGGGGGCTTTTTGTTATGCTACATCATCCCAGTTGGGCCTATCTTTTGATTTGCACAATCGAAAACAACCTGTTCCCCAGCTCTTCTTTGTTCAGTTGAAACCGTTTCACTTTGTTGCAAATTAAATAGTGAACAGGCACATCTTTTGCCCCTCCCTAAGCAACATGCTTTGTAGAGAATGGCAAGTTGGTTTTTATTTACATCTTTATGAATGAATAAATATCCAAGTATGCATTCAAGCTCAGTTACCTGCCAGATTGCATTTTCTCAGCTCTAAGGTCAGAATTTCATGACTTCTCTATAAATCATTACATACTCAAGTCAAGTGGACCTTTTGCCTGAAAACCAGTTAACCCCTATTAAACATCTGGGTTTGAAACCGAAATTAAACAGCAACTGATGCCATCTGAAGCCATCATGTCAAGCCATTTTGCAATGAATCAGAACTGTGACACAGAATGCACTACATACTACATAATATTTCAATAGCATTTTACAGTGTGCATTGTATTGCCTGCATAATATTCACATAGAGGCCTACTTTCACAAAATGAAATGTTGAAAGACGCTCATTCTGAGACAGCAGCTTGCATTTACATGCTTAAACTACTAGTTCATCCTGAAGGGCACATCACATACAGACATTCTGTAAGTAATATTTATGGTTTCCTACAAATTAGGCGAGTTCTGGAGTTCCTCTACTGTGATTTCTTCTGATAGAGTGACCACTTCAAGACGCAAAATGTGGAGAAAAAAAAAAAACTAAATGAAGAACATGAGAAGTTTGATGCTTGATATGGGAGGTTGCAAAGACATGAGAACTTCTTTCAAAAAGAGTTTATAATAATGCCAGGTTAAATGGCACACCTTTAAATACTTATTTAAAAAGAAGTGTGAGTGGTCGGACATGTTACTATGGAAGTCCGTTTCCACCACTGAATAAAAAATTAAAAAGGTAATTGCGACTTTTTTTCTCAGAATTGACCCTTCGCTGGTAGTTTGATGGACAGGCGATCTGACCAATCATAACGCGGAATTTGCCATTTTTTCCGACAAACAAACCAGACAGGAGAGTAGATTAACGTCGGTGGATTTGAGCTTGAAAAATGGTGTGTAATCTGTGAATTGACATCTTTCCGCAGTTGAAACAAGATACCTTCTGATGTTTGTTCATGTTTATTTCGTGCTGTAAATAGTAAAGAGGAAAAGATGATCGGTTCATGTGCCGCTTGAACTGAGGCTCCACAGCGATCTGTCACGACACATTAAAGAGCCACAAAATGGTATTTATTGTTTGAATTTGTAAAAAAAAAAAATACATTTGAAAGCTGAGAGAGCGAGACTTTGTTTAATACAAAAAGTAACCTGCTCTGTCTTGTCTGTTGGTACGTTGTCAGTTTCCTTTTTGCTCCGCTATGTATTTTTCACTGTGTGAGAACATGGTGTGTGGTGTGAGAGCGGCATGGCTTGTCAGACGTAGCAACAGTAACTAAGGGGGGCGGGTCTTTGCGAAGGGTCAATTGCAGGAGAAATAGTCAAAATTGGGATTCTGAACTCGCAATTTTGACTTTTTCTCACAATTGCGAGTTTTGAGCTATTCTGGGAGGTTCAAAAGACACAAGAACTTCCTTCAAAGAGAGTTAAAGGTGCAGTAGGAGATCTTGGAAAATGCTAACTTTAGCCTGATAGCACTGAAAGTGAACGTCCCACCCTCCCTGCAATCGCTGTCCAAAGCCACGCCCCCGAACGCATTTACGCTCACAGACCAGAGACAACATTACTACAATAGGCTACATCAGGTTCCCAATTCCTGCCCATGTTCCGAAGTGAAGTAAACTTCAACGGATTTCCCCCACTCAGGGAGTAGGGAGCAATGAACACTGTGTAGGGATCATATCGATCGGAAAACAGTTCATGCACGTAGCTCACTTCTAACGAGCTAGCGCGAGGACTAGATTAACCGCTGGGCTACATCATGTGTCATTCACCGGTGAGAAATCTTTAAAAGTACTACAATACCAGGAAGGAAGATCGGGTTGTTGATATTTGCCTGCCATCCTCGCTCTGTCTGCACAGCTTGCTTGAACGTGCTGATGACGTATCCTGTCTGCACGAACAGGGTGCGCAGAGGTATGCTAATACATACGTTGGCAGGCAGGTAGGAAAGCATATTAAAACACTTGGACCGAGCGTTTTGACTGGATGAACATTTCTTGATCCTACGCCTTCCACAGAATATATAAATACAGACAAATACATTTAGACCACTTAACTTAATGATTGCTATCGGGATGTTGAGAGACTTTCAACCAGCATAACAAAAAACATTTCTGAAGACAATCACCTATTGCACCTTTAATTATAATGCCAGGCTATCACCTGTTTTCCAATGTTGTGTTTGATGACTAACTGCACCAGCACATCTGCCAGGGTTTTGAAGTCAGCCATGACCACACTGTTTCATCGCCACCTCCTGTTTCTTTTGGATCAGCTGGATGAAGAGCATCCCCTCCTGCTGACACGGCGATGATGATTATGTTCTCAGTCTTCTCTGAGACCCGAACCAGTGCCATCACCAGATCAGACGTACTGGGGTACCTGCACATGGGAGGACAAGAGTGCAGGCCCTTATCCATAACTGTTCTAGTTATGTAGATGCGCACAAAACTGGATTCAAATCCAAAATAACCATATTTAGTTCCGAGATGAAAAATGAGATCAATTCAATCTTCAAAAATGCCCATTTTGTAATATGAGTGCACTGCATACTTCTCAAGATACACTATTTACCAACTGTTTATATTAGTTTAAGACACAACCGACATGAATGCTCACCAACAAAGGGCTTTGCACCTTTAATTATAATGCCAGGCTATCACCTGTTTTCCAATGTTGTGTTTGATGACTAACTGCACCAGCACATCTGCCAGGGTTTTGAAGTCAGCCATGACCACACTGTTTCATCGCCACCTCCCGTTTCTTTTGGATCAGCTGGATGAAGAGCATCCCCTCCTGCTGACACGGCGATGATGATTATGTTCTCAGTCTTCTCTGAGACCCGAACCAGTGCCATCACCAGATCAGACGTACTGGGGTACCTGCACATGGGAGGACAAGAGTGCAGGCCCTTATCCATAACTGTTCTAGTTATGTAGATGCGCACAAAACTGGATTCAAATCCAAAATAACCATATTTAGTTCCGAGATGAAAAATGAGATCAATTCAATCTTCAAAAATGCCCATTTTGTAATATGAGTGCACTGCATACTTCTCAAGATACACTATTTACCAACTGTTTATATTAGTTTAAGACACAACCGACATGAATGCTCACCAACAAAGGGCTTTATTTACTTATTTTGTATATAATTTTGTGTTTTTTGACCATTATGTGCATTAAGCTGTGAAAGAAACTCGTCACCCTGACGTCAGGGCTCTCTGTGCACGTGCTTTGGGCGTTTTCGTGAATTTATAGCGTTTAATAACTCTTTTTAACATCTCATCTATGTTTCTTAATCGATCTAACGTTTAAAAAAATGAAGCAGTGAATGACTGTCCTAACCGCAACCTCAAAACACACGCGAGTCAAAGAAGTCATGTCAAAAGTTACATACTAACGTTACATCTTACCTAGCGGTTCTCATTTTAAATTTACATTGTGTTTTTCACTGCACACGAGACAGTATTAGATCATTCTTGTTCATTTTTTTTCTGTTTCTCATTAAAAGCAAAGAGTATAGAAGACCTTAAAGGGGTCATATGATGCAATTTCAAGTTTTCCTTTCTCTTTGGAGTGTTACAAGCTGTTCGTGAATAGATAAGATCCCTGAAGTTGCAAAGACTAAAGTCTCAAAACCAAAGATCAAGACTTCGAGGTTTCGTAACATGGAGAAGATGCCATTTTTGAGAACCGTTAAATTGTTCGAGTTGAGTTGTAGCTGGCGTAGGGTACTCATAGACCCGAACGCTCTCATCTTGATGGTCTCTATAGCATTATGGCTGAGGTTGAGTCTTTGGAGGGCGTCAAAGTGGACGAAACAACTGCTGTCCAAGCTGCTCAATCGGTTCTCAGCCAGTGACAGATCTCGAAGGGAACCGAGACCCCGTGAAAATCCTTCACTCAGGAATGAGATTCGGTTTCGGCTTAGGTCCAACCTCAACAGTCCTTCTAGAAGAGAGAACGCTCCGTTGGCTAGCATGGCAATCATGTTGTCGTTCAGGAGCAGGATGCGAAGTCTTGGTGTGCTGTGGAAGGCTTGGGGCCGGATGGCACTCAGGTGGTTGAGGGACAGGTCCAGTTGTTCGGTGAAGGGTGGAAGGGCGGCGGGCAGGTGGGTGAAATTGCTGCTGGTGCAGTTGGAGATTTTGAGCTCCAGGTGGCAGGTGCAGTCGTAGGTGAAGTTGTGGCTCTTGGAGATGGACTGGACCTCGAGCACCAAGGGAAGCACGAACAACAGATGCATCCTGGAGGTTCTGCAGGGAAACCAAGACAGTTTGTGTCAAACTTAAACCAATAAGCTATTCAGATATCCCAGTACAGTGTGCATGATTATAGATTATTTAGAGCTTTTACTTACATATTAAATATGATGAAAAGACTTGTAATTATTTTACACACTGCTTTATTGCACTGTTTTTTTTACATTACAGCACTGTTTTTGAGTAAATGATATATAATAGGAATTGTATTTTAATATTTATTATTATAAAATTTATTTCTATGTAATTAAATATAATGATATAAAGTATACAATATAGTTTTTTTCATAATAATGATATATATACTGTTTATATATATATATGTATGAGATAATATATGATAATATCATAATGTATAATATAAATTGTAATTTATAAATGAAATATAATACAAATAATAATAAATTTATATAATAAATTTAACAGGACGTATACAATTTTTGGCATAACGTTATATACAGTAACTGTAAAAAGTTCTGTAATTATATAATTAATATATATTCTAATAATAATAATAGTAGTAAATACTGTATATTATATAATAATAATAATACTAGTACAATACTAACAATTATATATATATATATATATATATATACAGTGGGTAAGGAAAGTATTCAGACCCCCTTAAATTTTTCACTCTTTGTTATATTGCAGCCATTTGCTAAAATCATTTAAGTTAATTTTTTTCCTCATTAATGTACACACAGCACCCCATATTGACAGAAAAACACAGAATTGTTGACATTTTTGCAGATTTATTAAAAAAGAAAAACTGAAATATCACATGGTCCTAAGTATTCAGACCCTTTGCTGTGACACTCATATATTTAACTCAGGTGCTGTCCATTTCTTCTGATCATCCTTGAGATCTGCAATATCACAAAGAGTGAAAAATTTAAGGGGGTCTGAATACTTTCCGTACCCACTGTATATATATATATATATATATATTTTTTTTTTTCTCCCAGCATTTTCTTATTAAATGAAAAGTTTGAAATAAAGTATTTTAAATAGTTGCAAACACCGTGAGCATGGTTGTGAATTTTTTGAGTATATGACATATATTAGGGTTAGTATTTTATTACAATCATTCATTTCTATATAATTTAATATAACATTTACAGTATATATGTATACATATATATATACACACACACATTACATATATGATATAAAATGATACTAACATATAATAATAGTAATAATCTATATGATCTAATCTATATGATTATTTTCTGTATTATTAAACGATGTAAACTTACTATTCTTTCAATTTGTACCAACCAAATTTCATAAATACTTTTAGGTGAATATGTTACAAAATAAAAAAAATACAAGAATTGTTCTTTATTACAAAATAATCTGAATCTGAATTGTTATTTTGATGCCCTGGGATATAGCATTTATGTCATTGTGTAATGCAAAACAATCTATTTTTCTCTATGCTAAATTTCTCCATTATCTGCTTCTGTTAGATCATTAACAAATTGAATTGTGGATTCAGCATGGGTTTATGGAGCTTTTACATACTCTTTTCCAGTTTAAACTATGTAAACAAACAGCACAGACGGGACAGCTACATGTTTAGCTGCACTTGATGTTTGCGTACAGGTGAGCAAACGAATGTTCAAAAGCCTGTTATACAATTACAGGTCAAGTGTGGTTTTGTTCATGCAGGAACTTTACTAAATGAGCTTTGAACTTGTTTATAGATGTTTATTTGATCAAAATGTATTTTTGGGTTAAAATTTATAGGATTGTAGAATCAAAAGTTAAGCATTCCTTTCTTCACCATTTTAAGCACCTTCTAACCATCACTAATTCATTTTAAATGGTCATCTGGTGTAACAAAATAATTTTAATAGAGCAAATATTCAAAAGATTTAAAGTACAACTAAAACTACTCTCAATAATAATTACAAAACTATATGCAATTTATAAAACATACATATAAATAAACATGAATCGTCTTTTAACAATACAGAACGTCTACAAAAAGATCCGCACTTTAGCACATCGGGTTCGTTTTCAATCATGTATCGTATTGTGATACCTGTCGTACCTCACGTCCTCTGTCAGAGCACAGATCTTATCATAAACGCCAGTGCCTTGTTCTATGGTTTACTTCAGCTCCGAAAACTTAAGGTCAACTTAGTCAAAAGTAAGTGTATATGGAGCCTTACCTGAGTTTGGTGTCTGCCATCAGAGCAGCAGCCGTGTGTGATGTGCCTGTATACCACACTCTGTGTGTTTGCACATACAGAGGCAGCTGTTGGCAGAGAAGAGAAAAGAGAAAGAGCAAAGTGATTAATATTTCACGCCGGCAGCGGAGGGCACAGACACAACGAGGGGGTGCAAACCACATCACTTCAAGAGGACAATTATGAATTGTAATACAGGTGACACATATAATACGGACCTAAATTATGCAAATATAAATAAGAAAATAAATACACTTGACAAGCAATATAATGTAAATAAATTAAATTGATTAGCAGACAGACAGCTTTTTTTAAGCAGACAAACTTGTTTATTTTTATAGTTTTTATAGGGTTCAGTTTTACATGGTCATGGCAGGTTTTTTTTTTTTTTTTACAAAATTATTAATTTTTCAAAATATTTTTAATTTTTCACTACACTATCCTTACCTGTTTATATTTATATATATGATAAATTATGTCATGTTCTTCTTCAAAACCTTTTCTTTTTACTATTTAAAATAGTTAAAATAAATAAATAAATATGGATATTTTCTATGTAATTTAAAAAAACGTTATGTTCTTCTTTCAAAGCCTTTTCTTGCTACAATTTAAAATAGCTAAAAAAATTATAATATAGAATTTTAAAATATGTTTTTTTTTAATTAAAGGGGTCATATGATGCTGCTAAAAAGAACATTATTTTGTATATTTGGTGTAATGAAATGTGTTTATGCAGTTTAAGGTAAAAAAAAACACATTATTTTCCACATACTGTACATAATAGTTTCTCCTCTATGCCCCGCCTTTCTGAAAAGCATTGATTTTTACAAAGCTCATCGTTCTGAAAAAGCGAGGTGTGCTCTGATTGGCCAGCTATCCAGTGCGTTGTGATTGGCCGAATTCCTCAAGCGTGTGACGGAAATGTTACGTCCCTTAACATATTGTGATGCCTGCGGCAACCACATGTGACGACCCCGGGCTGGACTCCGCTTCGTCCACGGTGAAAGGCGATCCGGCGATCTACAGCATGAAGTTGAAGTATTTCCTCAGCGACCAGCAAGTATCAGCTATCGTACTCTTTTGGAGGTCCAAACAAAGTAGTTTCGCTTTCACAACGAAGCACACAGCGCCTTCACGACATGGTGGCGGCGGCAACAATACTACAGCGAGAATAAAAGTTACGCCTTCTTTCTTTGCGTGAACATTTGGGCGGCGTTATGCAAATCTTCCCACATAGTGAGGTAGATATGTGGGGGCGTGTTAGAACGAGCCGTTTTAGGTAGGCGTGGCTGACTCTTAACTTTTATAAAGAATATCTCTTTGGATTTGAGACTTTAGTCTTTGCAACTTTACAGATCTTCTTTATGCGCCAAGAGCTTGTAACACTCCAAAGAGAAAGGAAAAATTTAAATTGCATCATATGACCCCTTTAAAGGTTACACTATGGATAGACTAGACGAAAATATGCACAGATAAGGTTAGTACGCACTTTTAAACCACACTAGCCTCATGTTCTTCTTTTGAAACATTTGATTTTTATCCCAATTGTGAAGTTTTACTGACATACCAGTGTAATGATCTCGTAGCATGGTGCATTATGGGATATTCTCCTTTGGTCTTTCATACATACATAAAATCAGACTTGTAATCTCGGAATTGGAACAAAATCCCATCCATCTCAGCTATGAGCACAGTTTCTCCTTACACCGGTTTTAATGCCAGTCTATACATCCCGTCCATCTACACGCAGATGACAGATTTAGTGAAACAAAGAGCAAAGGTTAAAACCAGCTTATTTCTCTTTATGTTTGGGATATTACTAGAAGGATAAAACTGAAAAACCCCCATTGAGCTCTCCATCCATCTTCACATCAGAAAAGGGAAGGAGGAGTACAGAAAGTAGGATTAGAGCTAAAGCTCTCCAAAGCCTCACTTTGTCCTGCATTATTTCAGTTCTGCTGAACACAAACGTTGGACATGTAGAAATAACGTGGATTAATGTTACATGTATAGATGTTTAAAACATTTACCTTACTATATATACATACCTTATGTTATAGATCCGGTCTTGATTGGATTGACCTAATTCGTCCTCCCCTTTCCTTGTAGGTGAATACTGGCCGGTGAGAGCAGGTGGGCCGCCGCTGTTCACCTGAACCCCTCAGATCATGTAACTGTGCAGGTATCTGCGGAAGGAGGGTTGAGTTTCATCCAGGACCTCTGATATAAACTACAGCTCTGACCTAAAAAGAGTCTTAAATCAAAGGAATTGTTCATCCATTTGCTGGTTTTTGTATCGTTCTAGAGTTGCCTTTCCATGTAAAAAGGTTAAAAATTAATAATACAGAAGTAATAAGAATAGACAGACAGCCAGACCGAAAGATTATAGATACATAAATAAATAGATGGACAGAGAGACAGACAGACAGACAGACAGACAGACAGACAGACAGACAGATAGATAGATAGATAGATAGATAGATAGATAGATAGATAGATAGATGTAGGTTACTCACAGCTGAAGATGATATTCTGACATCAGGATGCAGTGCAGTGTGTGAGGTGGTCATTCTTCACTCATGAGTGATTTGTGCTGTTTGCTGGGATTATGACACTCAAGACTTCATCTCACAGTAAACACAGCGGGTGATGAGAGAGAATGAGTGAGACACAGATGAGACTCTAATCCTCCGCCGGGATTCACTGGATTACAGGATGGTCAATTCATTCGCATCCAATCATTTCCATCCATCCATCTATCCATCTATCCATCTATCCATCTATCTATCTATCTATCTATCTATCTATCTATCTATCTATCTATCTATCTATCTATCCTGGACTTTCTGAAGCACCACTTTCAGCATTTCATTGTGCTGGCTGATGCTGTAACATAAGTTCTGCTCATTTTTAATGGTCATAGGAGCGGTTGTATAGACAGTGCCACCAGGGGTCACGCTGGCATTGATGCAGTATGTGCCGTTCACTTCCTGACCAGGAGAGGTCAACAGCGTTTAACATTTAAACTCCACTGCAGCTGGGAGAACAAACGGCGGAGCTCCTGGAACGGCGTGAGAGTGGGCCATCTATCTATCTATCTATCTATCTATCTATCTATCTATCTATCTATCTATCCTGGACTTTCTGAAGCACCACTTTCAGCATTTCATTGTGCTGGCTGATGCTGTAACATAAGTTCTGCTCATTTTTAATGGTCATAGGAGCGGTTGTATAGACAGTGCCACCAGGGGTCACGCTGGCATTGATGCAGTATGTGCCGTTCACTTCCTGACCAGGAGAGGTCAACAGCGTTTAACATTTAAACTCCACTGCAGCTGGGAGAACAAACGGCGGAGCTCCTGGAACGGCGTGAGAGTGGGCCACAGTTAACTGCACAAAAAGACAGACCACCCATTAGTTTCTGTTTATAAGAAAGCTTTAAAACAGCACCTCTCTCCCTCTCTGTCTCACCGAGTCTCATCCAGCCGTTCTGTAAACATACTCTCCAAAAACAGTGAATGTTAACTTTAATCATCCGATTCTAATGAGTCACAGATGAATCACTTTCAAAAGATTTTTCTCCAGCTGATGAACGATAAAAAATTGACAGCCAATCAGAATCCATCCTGCTTTAACAAGCTCGAGAATTTAAAGCAGCAGACGATATCGTTCGCTGGTGTGGACGCTAAAATCGTTATCTTTATAATTATCTTTATAGTTATCGTTCTTGGTGTTAGAATGAACAGACGCTGGCCAAAATAAAAGGCCACTCTAAAATGTGCAGTTTTACTGTATTGGGGGGTCCGGGGGGGGGTTTCTGTTTATAAGAAAGCTTTAAAACAGCACCTCTCTCCCTCTCTGTCTCACCGAGTCTCATCCAGCCGTTCTGTAAACATACTCTCCAAAAACAGTGAATGTTAACTTTAATCATCCGATTCTAATGAGTCACAGATGAATCACTTTCAAAAGATTTTTCTCCAGCTGATGAACGATAAAAAATTGACAGCCAATCAGAATCCATCCTGCTTTAACAAGCTCGAGAATTCAAAAATCAATGTGACCACCATTTGCCTCACGCAGTGCAACACATCTCCTTCGCATAGAGTTGATCAGGTTGTTGATTGTGGCCTGTGGAATGTTGGTCCACTCCTCTTCAATGGCTGTGCGAAGTTGCTGGATATTGGCAGGAACTAGAACATGCTGTCATATATGCCGATCCAGAGCATCCCAAACATGCTCAATGGGTGACATGTCCAGTGAGTATGCTGGCCATGCAAGAACTGGGATGTTTTCAGCTTCCAGAAATTGCGTACAGATCCTTGCAACATGGGGCTGTGCATTATTATGCTGCAACATGAGGTGATGGTCATGGATGAATGGCACAACAATGGGCCTCGTCACGGTGTCTCTGTGCATTCAAAATGCCATCAACAAAATGCACCTTTGTTCGTTGTCCATAACATACGCCTGCCCATACCATAACCCCACCGCCACCATGGGCCACTCGATCCACAACGTTGACATCAGCAAACCGCTCACCCACACAACGCCATACACGCTGTCTGCCATCTGCCCTGTACAGTGAAAACCGGGATTCATCCGTGAAGAGAACACCTCTCCAAAGTGCCAGACGCCATCGAATGTGAGCATTTGCCCACTCAAGTCGGTTACGACGACGAACTAAAGTGTTGCGTTTATAATTTTGTTCAGTGTAAATCTGTTTGTTCAAGTGTTTGGTTAAAGAAATTGATGTTTTCAATAAATATATTTCTTTTTTCTGCAAGAAAATGTCAAATATTTAAATGTGTCCATTGTGATACAGTGTTGCCTTGAGGCAACAAACTTAAAATAAATAAATTAATTAAATAATGAAAATGTTTAATTGATATTGTTATAGTGTCAAATTTTAAGTAGGAAAAACATCACAAATATTTTTTTCCTCATTGATATCATATTCTGTATCGTAGAGGGATAAAATAAACAATTTAATATTATTATTATAAAAATAAAAATAACACACATTACACATAACATCTGTCTATCTATCCTTACATTTTTTCTTAATAATAATAATAAATAAGAATATATTTTATTTTTCATCTTTTTAAAATGTTCATATTTTTTTACAAGTTACAGAAAATTTAAAAAGGTTTGAAATTCATCTCCACTGCATTTGTTTATGCCATTATGTTCAATTATAGATAAAAAGGGGCTCCAATAATGTTTAAATGTGGCTTCTTTATTCTATAAATGCAACCCAGCAGAGACAGCTGCACAGCAGCTGATTACTTACATTTATGCTAGAGGAATAAGTTAACTGGGACAGAGGGGGTATGACAGATAGAGAGGATTGAACAGCCCACGGTGGACAGACTGTGCGGTGAAAAAAAGGGAAAGATTTGAACTAATGACATTGATGTTTTGGGCAGAAATGCCAAGAGCTCAGCCGTGAGAGAGAGACACTTACTAAACCAGACAGATCAAATGTAACACCCCTCGTGTTTTCCTGCAGGGGAAAAGAGGACCGAGAGTGGCAAAGAAAAAGGTTATGAGAGGAGAGGAAAGCCACTGCATACAGAAGCATCATGTCCATTCAAACTGAGGGGGTTTAAAGCCGTGAGCAGGTAAAAAGAGTGTTTGTCCAAGTGCTTTAGCAGAAGTCACCCATTCACATGTCTACATTTATTCAGTTTTGCTAAGCCCCGAGTCATAATATTAGGATTAATGCATCCCAAAAGTGCCTGGACGATGTACTTCTTCTTGATTGAAAGGTAACAGCATGTTATTTGGGCTATTATTACCCACAATCCTTTGCGCAACGGAGGAGGCGGCGGGGGAGCTGTTTCGCTGTTGAACAATATGAAACGTGCCATTTTTAATTGTACAAACCCAAAAATAATGAAGGCGATATATTTAGCTAGATGCTAATGCTAACGCTCAAGCTTTAATATCCACGTCTGAAACATGCCGTAAAGAGCATCATTAAAATTAGAGCAGCGAGTGCCGTCCTGAATGAGTTCTAGCAGGGTTTGGCAGCAGTATTACTGCAGAGCATTTGGGAGGTCATGAAATGAACCGAAAAGTGTTTAATCCACCTCGACTTAATCCTGTGAACCTCGCTCTCCCTCCCTTCATCGCTCCATCATTCCATCCCTTCATCTCTCCAGCCTTTATGGGTTTTCCTGAATGGATCTGGGATTTTATCACATATGAAATAGCAGATGTTCAGATGAACGTAACATTGAACTGCTCAACCATTAGTGCCAAATTAATAAATGTAATTAATAAAGACCATATATATGTTCTTATAATATAATAAAATATGAACTAAATAGTTTTTTTTGATTAAAAAATTAAATTTTTAATAAATTAGAATTTTTAATAAAGATAATAAGGAATATATTATTATAGACTTATATAATAACTATTATAGAACATATAATAAATTTTTAATAATGAAAAGTATAACGTTTTTAACAAAAGACTAGGCCTATATAATTTATTTAATAATCTAATAAATATTTAATAATTTACTTTTATTTTTTCTTAAGCCACATGATTTGAGGTATTATTTACAGTTTGTTTGAAGTATGAATGGTGTGGGATGAGATATTTTATAGAGACTGAAAAGTCCATTCTTGCATCTGCATTATTGTTGGCAGCACAGGTATATCTCCTTTGATTGATCCAGACACACAGAAAACATTAACAGAGAGGCAGTATTTTTATATTTGTGTCATATTCACATAAAAAATGTTTTAAAGATAGCAGAAGGATTTTTTCTTTTGAAATGGTGACAATTACTTGGTTTCTTTAGCTATTTCCTTAATGTTTTGAGCATGCTGTTTGTCATCTTTACTGGAAATTCACATGATAATCATATGAGGGTGCTTCTTAAACTATGCTCACTTTCATTCATGTGGAGTTTTAGAAAATAAACACTTTTCAGAGTTTATTTATTTAAGTATTAACAAAAGTGATCATATGCGTCAGAGAAAAAAAAGCCCCCCCCCCCCACCAATGTTTAATAGCATTTTGCATAATTTTTTGCAAAAGTTGACAACATTACAGCGTGAATGGAAATGATGAGCCATAAAAATATAAGCTACCATTTTTTGATATGGTGGAAATGACCAATTTCACATGATAAATATTGAAGTAGTTGTTTATTTCATTCTTTGTTTAGATTGAAGTCAAGTAAGTTTTTGTATAGTGCTTTTTTCACTCAAAAGCTGAGGTGGATTATATCAGATCCATGATGGCTACGAACAATCAGTTAAAAAAAGAGGACAAAATCAATAATGAATGAAAAGAAAACAAACTCTGGGAAAAGCGCCCAAAGTTGAATGAACATCAAGTGCGGATCCATGTTTGTATTCTGTATAAACTTGGCCGCAGACGAAAGCACACTGCCTGTTCTTCACAGAGGTGTGCAACCTTATAAGAGCAAACTCTATCGTAGATCAGAGGAACCAGAGAAAGATGGAGACATTAATCATAAATAGTTTTGTTGGAATGAAGCTGTTTTACGTATATGCTCCGTGCTCGTGGGAACCCAACTGTTGGATCGATTAAAAAAGGGTCCTCTTTGAACTCTTCCACAATTTTTCCTGTTTTTCACAGAAACTTTCCCCTTGGGAATCCAGTGCAGATGATTACGAATGTGAATTAGCTGGTTTTGAATAAATATCGTCTGGTTAGTACAGCACAGGGTCTGGGTGTACCACCGTGCCAAAACTAATGGAACTTGATACTAGTATTTGAACAATTAAAGTGAAAGCTTCGTGTCCTCAAAAAACAGAATAAAACAGAAGCAGTGATGGAAGAAATAATGATTTTAGGGGGAATATTTAGTGGTGTGCTTTTATTTCTCTTGAAAAATTCCCTTTCCTTGTCAATTTTTTTTAATGGAAATCTATTTCTGCCACAGAATAAAAACATTAAAAAAAGGTATACATCACAATTCTGACTTTTTTCTCTGAATTCTGAGTTGACATCTCACATTGAGTTTTTTTTGTTTCTGCCACAAAATAAAAAAACGGTAATTTTTATCTCACAATTCA